GGGAGATAGAGAGAGAGAGAGTGTGTGTTTGTGTGTTTGTGTGTGTTTGTGTGTGTGTGTGTGTGTGTGTGTGCGAGTGCATGCATGTGAGTGTACCTGTGAGTGTGTCCTTTTCAGTCGAAGGAAGAGTAAAAATGCGACCTTTGACACTTTGAACTAATGACAGTTCTTACGAAAAAGCTTGAGAATAACGTAAGAGCCCCATACACGCTCAAATTTGTTCGTCAAACATTTTTGATCGTTTTTCTTTACAGTTTGACGTTTGCCTTACTCGTTCAATTTTTTTTGGGTCAAACATTAGTTTGTGCCAAGAGTTTGTAATGGACGGACCAATAACATTGCCTCTTGCTTTAGAAAAAAAGTGGGCCATAAACTGGTTTTTGCTCTATGACCGTGCCGCTGTTTCTTGACTACGCAGGAATAAATGAGCACAACAAAAAAACCACAATGAAGGCTCGTAGATTCCATCTGCACCGATCCTAGACTTTGGAGAATCATCCAATTTCTTCAACTCCCATCGAAAACTCGTCTGCAGTGAGTTGATTTTCTTTTTCACTTCTTCTTTTGTGGCATCTGCATACAACTCCCTGTATTTCAGCAGCAGAGAGTCTTAATCACCTACTTTAAAAAAAATCTTAGTCGCTATATTCTTTACTTTTTAACTTTCCATAGTTCAGGCAAACTCTGGTTGACTTCAATCAGCTCCAGAATATTTTATTTCATCCTTTAAGGGCGCAATGGTGATGTAAAAAGCAGATCTTTTCTATCCAGCAGAAACTGAAAAAATAATGTTTGCACAAATACATTTTATATTGGGCACACACGATCATTAGTTTGACGGTTTGCCAAAAATATCAACTGAAAACTGCTCCGTCAAATTATATTTGACATCTATAAATTATTTTGACCGTCAAACTCACCCATACTTCATCAAAAACATATTTAAAATTTTTTTTTCAAAGATATAATTTGATCAAACCACCAAACAAATTTGAGCGTGTATGGGGCACTTTACAGTTACAGCCTGTTTGGACGAAAACCTAGAAGGACTGCCAGCTGCCGGTACCGTCTTTGTTATTGTCTTCTTCTATTATTTAATGAAGGTGTTTTTACGCCCCAATCGACAGAATTTCGGCAATTTTGAAGACCGCTTAGGACCCAGCTTGCCAGGGTCAAACTCGGGCTGAGAGGGATACGACGTCCCAGCTGAAAGACCGAGACACTCGACAAAAATTCTCCCTACTCGAGAACCGAACTCGGGTCTTCTGCGTGCGATGACGAAGAGCCTAACTTATATCTCAGACACTGGTTTCTTGGGTTTTAAAAGATTGTCTTTGTTTTAGTTTTGGTGCGAGTCATTTGTGCGT